ATCTATCTATCTATCATATTCATATAGCCACCCATCTCACATAAAAGTGACTCTGAGTAGCGTGCAACACTTCATTAAAGACAAAACGTGGATAATAACAGTCACAATTTAAAAAATAACTATCAAAAGCACACAAAACAGGAGAGGGTGACATTGCCCCCAGTGAGCGAGCCACGGCAAACTCTCCCCGGTCCCCTGGGACCCCCAGGCCTGGTGACCTAGCCGGGTCTTGAGGGACTGGCAGAATGTTAAGAGGGATGGGGCCAACCTCACTTCCGGGGGGAGAAGATTCCACACGGCGGGCATCACGGCAGAGAAGGCCCGCCTCCTGGACCCGCCACATGTAGTTCCCTGGCAGACGGGACCCGCAGCATGCCTTCTCTGCCAGACCTGATGGGACAGGCAGGTGTAACTGGGGAGAGGCGGTCCCTCAACAAACTCAGTCCCCGCCATGAAGGGCTTTAAAGGTCAAAACTGGCACCTTGAATTGCACCTGGAAGCAGACCGGCAACCAATGCAGCTCGGAGAGATGTAACGTGTACCGCTCTAGGCGCACCCATAACTGCCCGCGCTGCTGCATTCTGCACCGGTTGAAGCTCCTGGATACTCTTCAAGGGCAGCCCCTTGTAGAACGCATTGCAGTAGTCCAGTCTGGAGGTGACCAGGGCAAGAGTGACGTGAGCAGAGCCTCCTGATCCAGAAACAGGCACAGCTGGCACACAACATGAAGCTGGGCAAAGGCCCTCCTGGCCACGGCTGCCACCTGCTCTTTGAGCAGGAGTTGTGAGTCCAGGAGGACCCCCAGACTGCACAACGGGTCTGTCTGGGGCAGTGCCACCCCATTCAGCACCAAAGATGGCATAACTCTAGCACCAGAAGGCCCCAGAACGCTCCAGATGCTCACAGCCTCCAGGCACCGGGATTAGACATTCACAGCGTCGCTTAATTCTCCAGAGGCAGAGATGGATAATTAGATATCAATTTAATTTAATTTAATTTAATTTAATTTAATTTAATTTAATCTAATCATCAGATGAAAACAAAATCACTAAAACAGTGCAGGCATTTCTTGCCCAGTCCTGACGCCAGAGAAGTTACGAGTTTTATTAGTGGGGCAGGGCCAGCCAAATTCATTTCTCGCTTTGGGGGCCACGATATGCCAAATCTGCAAACCTGGCTGGCCCTTGGGAGGATTCCACGCTTCCAACATTTTAGTTCCCATGTTAAGTTCTCAGCCAAATCCTCATTATTTATTAGATTTATAGCCTCTCTTTCATTCTGGAGCTCAAGGTGGCCTAGAGAGTGCCCTCTTGAATTTTTTCCCCACAACAACCCTGCAGGGTAGGTTGGGCTGACAGGGAGCGACGGGCCCAGAATCCCCCACCGGAACCTGTAACTCCACTGACTTGACTCTTTCCCTTGCAATGAAAGCGACAACCTTTATGCGCTCAACTACCCCGAGTTTTAATTCTCTGTCTCACGCGTTTCCCAGGTATTATTCTGAACGGGGAGAAGCCGTTGCCAAAGCTGCCAAGAGCCCCCATGTGGTAAGTTTCACCCCACTGAAACCTTTGCAGTCCGGGGCAAAACTAAAACGGGGTTTTGCCCAAACGTCCCGTTGGTTCCTTCTGAAAAACTTTTCCGTCACTCGCAGGGTGACTACCGCCAGCTGGTGCACGAGATTGATGAAGCGGAGTACGCGGAAATCCGATTCATGATCAACGAACTGAGAAACATTTACGTGAGTTCCCGCAGCAGACCCTGATGGTGTCGCCCGGACATTTTTTTTTCCCCGAAAGAAACTGAATGATGGCCAAAAAACCCCAGATTGCTGCAGAATTCTGCACAGGGGTTACCCCATTTTCAATTTAACTTTGGGGAAGTCTAGGTGCTTTTGTATCTCCTAAAAATCTCCCCCCCCGAAAGAAGATACCCATACCCTGTTCCTACAACCCGTTCATCCAGCAAGCGCTTGGATTGCTCGTGTTCAGAATTCACGCAATACAAATAAGCTCAACCACCAAATTGGGCAGATAAAACCCAACCGGGATTTGTAACCGACCTGGTCCAGGGTGGGGTGTGCAGTCCCGGCCTTCGAGTCAAGAGTTGATGGATTAGTG